CTCTGAAGGATCCCACCAAATCTACCTTGCTAGACTTAATTCTGTCCAACAAAATGGACAGAATTACTGCCTCAGCAGTCTTTGACCATGGTATTAGTGACCACTGCCCCATTGGATGCATTAGAAACAGTTACAAGAACAAAACAGGCTCTCAGATGGTGGTTAGAAGAAATTTTAAACATTTTAATGAATTTTAATGCTTTTCTGTCTGACTTAGCAATGAGTGAAATCCACCTTACACTAAAAATTCCAGATGTTGACTTGGCACTAAACCATTTTAGCAAATCATTTCTAACGGTGGTGAACAAACATGCCCCCCACAAAACGCAAAGAATAAGAGACACATCAAGTCCCTGGTTCATTAGTGAAGTTTCCTCATTGTTTAAAGCCAGAAATAAAGCTTGGTCCACTGCTAGACGCACGGGAGAGACAGACCACTGGCTTACGTTCAGACAACTGAGAAACAGATGTACCTCTGCAGTTGGAAAAGCCAAATCAGATTATTATCTCGACCTGATTACCAGGTCTACAAACACTCAAAACTTTTGGAGAACTGTAAAATCCCATAAAACAATTCCTCTACCCTTCCAACCAGCGTTATAGATGATGATCAGCTGATATCTGATCAGAAGGAAATCTGTAGAGCTTTTAACATACGTTTTGCTGCAGCTGGGCACATTTTTGAAAATACTGACTTGAATCTGCAGTTAGATAAAACTGACAACAACTCTACTGCTACACAGGGCCATGGTCTCTTCATACTCCAGCCCTTCTCTCCAATCATAGTAGCTAAATTTCTTACTACTATTAATCCACAAAAAACTACTGGTGAAGATGGGCTGGACCCTTACTTCCTGCATCTAGCAGCCCCAGTTATTTTATAATACATAACATATATTTTTAATCTCTCTGTTTTATTATGCAGAATTCCCTGGATCTGGAAAATAGCTCACGTAACTCCACTGCATAAAGGAGGTGAGACAGCAGATGTAAATAACTACAGACCAATCTCAAAATTGTCCTGTTTAGCTAAAATAAATAAATAGTCAACTTATATCATTTCTACACAAAAATTCTGTCCTGTTTAATTATCAATCTGAAAGACACAGCACCATCTCTGCTACCACACTGGTTTTAAATTATTTCTATATGGCCATAGACAGGAAGAAGCATTGTGCTGCCATTTTTATTGATTTATCAAAAGCGTTTGATACAGTTGATCACACTCTTCTTTTAAGGAACTTACAAAAGATTGGCTGTGATACAAATGCACTAAAATGGACCCAAAATTACCTTTCAGACAGACAACAATGCGTAGCACTGAGTAATTACAAATCAGATTTTTTGAGTATATCCAAAGGAGTACCACAAGGTTCAATTTTGGGCCCAGTTTTATTATATATATATATATATATATATATATATATATATATATATATATATATATATATATATATTAATGAACTTGCTGCCTCTGCCTCAGACTGCAAAGTACACCTGTATGCAGATGACATGGTTTTATACTGTTCAGGTGACTCTGTTTATGCTGCAATAAGAAAACTACAATGCTCATTTAATGCTCTACAGGTTGCTTTGCATAAACACAAACTGGTTTTAAATGCTAAGAAAACTAAGTTCATGCTGTTTTCCAGATCTACTAATACTGATTTTAATTGTGTAAATATCACTACCCTGACAGGATCCAACATCGAGAGAGTCACAGAGTATAAATACCTTGGCATATGGCTGGATGTTACTCACTTTTAAACCCCTTATTAATAAATTGGTTAGCAAATTTAGGCAGAAGCTCGGTTATCTATATAGAAATAAATCCTGTTTCCCCATGTATGCTAGAAAAAGAATTATTGAGGCAACCTTACTATCTGTCATGGACTACGGTGATGTAATTTACAAACACGCATCTGCCAGTTCCCTTAAACCGCTGGACTCAGTCTATCACTCTGCACTGAGGTTCATTACTGGAGACCGTTATAACACTCATCACTGCATAAAAAAAAACTGTATAAAAAAAAAATTTGGTTGGCCCTCACTAGCAGCACGGCAGGAAGCACACTGGTTTATTTTTATTTATAAAACACTCTCTGGTCATATGCCAGAATATATTACTTTAATGATATCTGTAAATAAATGGTATTTATCAGACTCGCTCCAGTGGTTGGATCACATGCCAGGTACCGAGGGTTTTTACTGAACTGGGAAAATCTGCTTTTAGTTACAGTGCACCAGCGAGCTGGAACTTACTACAGGAAACACTAAAGCTCAGCTCGCTGGCATCACTTGGTCATTTTAAACTTCTACTCTCTAACCACCTCCACTCTGCCTGCAACTGTTGTGCCTGATTTTTTACCATTTCTATCTTATTTTCATTATTTTATTATTTATTTGTTAGTTTGTCCATTATTATATATTTTATATTTATTTTCATTATTATATGTAATTTGTTTTTTTAATCTTATTCTCCTCGTTTTATTTTGATTTGATTTTATTAACCGTTACATTTTAGCTGTTTTAATTACTGTTTTATTATTATTATTATTTTATTATTATATTTTTGTGTTTTGTATTATTAATGTTCCTCTTTTTTATACTTACCTGATCTGAGTCTTCATTTATTAAATTTACTTTTATTATTTTATATGTTCTTACACATCATCAATCCCTTGCTCTGTATTAACTCAGCAACATTGTAAATGAGGGCTACCCTCAATGTTCTCCAAGATTAAATAAAGGTTGATTGATTGATTGAAAGAACAATAATTCTAAAACCACAGTTTATGTTTGCCTTTAAAGGACATTTAACTAATGTTAACCGGCCAAATAAAACATTACAAACGCACACACACACACACACATATATATATATATATATATATATGTAAGGACCCCTTCAAACTAGTACTTGGTACAAGCACCTTTTGCTGCAATAACAGCTTTCAGTCTTAAGTCTGTTAGAGTAAATTTGTGGTCAAATAAAACAAAAACAGATTATTGGCCAAAATTCTAAATGTTGTGTGGCACAAACTTAACACTGTCCATTCCTCAACAAACACCATCCCAACAGTGAAGTACGGGGGTGTCAGTATCATGTTATTGTTATTGCTTATCTTATTAAAATTGAAGGATAGATGGATGGTGCAAAATCCAGGGAGATACTGCAAGATAACCTGCATATGTCTACCAATGTTCACTATATGTGCACTACCATGCCACTGATGATAGTGATCCATTGACAAAGAGGGGCTAAAAAATGATGCTCACATGAGAACATAAGGCGATACATTACCACGAAACACAAGGATGTCTTCAAAAGGGCCAAAGTGTTTCTGCATCACTTCTAATTTTACAGTTGAGTTCTCAGTTTAGTTTTCTCAACTTGAAACTAAATTTTTGGGGTGTGTATATTTTGTATATTTTCCTGCTACTGCGCAAAGATGACCAACATGACCAGCAAAGTGCAATGTTTCCTGATTCTTTTGTTTTATAGTGGAGTTCTCAGTTTTCCTGAAAGAAAAATGTTAGGGGACTGAATTTTGTAAGGCAGAAATTAAGGACCTGTTAACAGTTCAAGCTGAGAATGTCATATTAGTTTAAGGGTGGCAAGTTTAGAAATGACACAAAGAACTTTAAATGTGTTAAAGGTGTGCTTTAATGCAGTGGTTCCCTAACTTTTTACAGTCCTGTACACCCTCAGACTATAAACCACCTCCTGCATACCCCCTCTCGTACCTTATACATACACATGCATGTGTAAGACATTTAGCCTCATAAATCAGTCCCCCTTAAAATATCAAACGTTTACGATGTGATGACACTTCGCACCAGATATACTGAACAACACTGAATAAATACTGTTATTTACAGATGCACATCAGTCTATATGAGGGCATATTATGCATGTGTAAGACAGTATCTGGCTGCAAAATGACTACTAAAAAACAAAATATTCACCATGTGTAACAGATCACATCCAGCACAGTAACATCATTCATTTAGTAAGTCAAAAACAACCCTAAATAATCACAACAGCCTCTACAACCTTCACTGTGTACACGTTGTGCAGTTTTTAGACACTCCCTCAACGAGTAACACATTGGTGTTTAGCTGTTCAGAGCTTTTGTTCAGCAAAATTTACTAAAGGATACTTTTAAAATATGTTTGGTTGTAGTTTGCTGCTCATATTTGCAGGAGTGAGAAAAAGTAGTTCTGGTCATTTTTGCATTTATTTAATGAGAAATCTAAGAGAGAAAAGTTGAATATCTAGCAAATGCTCAGTATAAAATATTAGTGTGCATTTAGTTTTTTTTTTTAGTTTAGCTTAACTAGCTCTATCACGCAACCAAAATGCTAACATCTTAGCGCTAATCACAGCAGCTACAACTGTAAACTGAACTGCGTCTGTGAAAGTGAAACTACCTCACAAACACAACTGACAAAGATTATACAGGCCTTAACAAGTTAGTTCACAATACTTCATTCATTTACACAAACAGCAGTGCAGATAACCTTATTAATGAACTGTTCTTAATATGAATGTTAGTTCATCCACAATGCAGGACACGCAAAAAGGAACAGTAGTGAAACACCTTTTCCAACATTGCCTTTTACACAAACAGCCTAACAACAAATAAAGAGCATGCATTTGTCATGTACTGGATTTTATAAATATCCCACTCACACATCACATGCTGACATCAGCTTCAGATTAAACTCAGCATTCAGAGATCCGCTCAGTGTCAGTGAGGATCTCTTGCTCAGCAGTTGGTGAGTGGAGTGCAGAGCTACAAAGCTGTTAGTGTCGTCTTTATCAGGGAAGTATCTGTGTAATTGCACAGCCGGCTAATGGAATAAAATGAAGATTAAATGACGTATAAACGTCAGAATTTATTTCAAGTATCCCCAGTGTCATCTGGTGTAACCGTAGGGGTACATGTACCAGAGTTTGGGAACTGCCTCAATGTAGTGAAAACACTAAAACTTACCACAATTGCACCATTGTCCTGTCCTATGAAGATCCGCCTGCTTTCATGGTGATATGACATACAGGAACATGGAGCTGTGCACAGACACACACACACTCTTTATTGCAGTATACAGTACAGTGTCGTGTATTCAACAAAAGCCACGTGTCATACTATAGGACAGGGGTTTGACATCAAAATCCAGGACTAAGCCAATCAGAACCATCTATCATGACCCAGCCTATTTCCCTCAGCTCTCCAATCACTGCTCATCAACTTTTGCTAGTTGCTCTTCAGCTCAGGTCTCTAGCAGCACATATGTATATACTTTGGTCAAGACACGTGCCTTCTGAATTCTGAAAGATACCATGAGAGAGTGGAAGGTGTTGTTTTCTATTCATCTCCAAAGCCACAAATAAACTTTAAAAATGCCTGAAAAGCTGATGGATTGTTTGGTTGAGACCAACTTTACTTATTTACCGTTTTAACCTCATTATCTGTGTAGTCAGTTAACCTTCAAGACCGGCAGAGACAGCAACAGGACTAAAAAAAAATCCTTTGATTTTATTTTTGTGTCCATAAAAGACTCAAGCAGAATAAAGCAGGCTATTTCGAAAACAACCTTATCCTATAGCTGAACCTTTAGTCAGTAAAAGGCATAACATACTGATGTCCAGCAAAAAATTAAGGCATCCAGAAATTACAGAGGTGCTCTGCTGAAGGTTCTATGTCATTGTGATTCTGAATTTGAGCTTATGTTGTATGCCAAGTGCAGGCAGTTTAGCAAAGTGTGTGTGTGTACTCACATGACACAGTATGGTAAATGCTGGGCCAGTACTGCCCACTGTCTCTCTTGAGCCATACTCGAATAGTCCTGAAACAAGCAAACCAAAATGTTACAGTTAAAAAAAAAACAATCACTCAATATGTTTGTTTCTACATTGCTCTACTTACACCTAAAATAAAATCAAAACAAGCCATAAAATGACTTAAGACAGAGATCTGATACCAGGTATTGGTATCAGGCTGATATCAGGCTAATTTCAGCAGAAAATGCTGGAGTGGATACTAGAGGAAAAAAAGAATGAATCTGATGCAATGCTGTAACAAATCTAATCTGAAATGTGCACACTCGTGTTGTGGCATGTCAAGTTGTTAGCTATGCATTTCGTCCAGGGGAGCAGTAGAGTGTTTGAGAAGTGTGAGCATGATTGACTACTTTTGACGTTCAGCCTCAGTGAACTGATTCAATTAAAAAAAATAGCTATCTTTAAAGTGAAGTGTTTATTTAAACAAATTCTATATTGGCAGAAAAAAAAACCTGAAAAAAGGTGGTACAGTACCATCTCTCACAATACTGCAAGAGACAACTCTGCAGCATTTAATCTCATAATTATGCTTTAATATCTCATAATTGACAGCATTTTATAATGATGACTTAATATTTCATAATAATGATTTAGCATCTCATAATTATGACTTAACACCTAACAATTATAACACCTAACAACAATTATTACTATCAGTAACTAAGAGGACCCCTCAAAGTTGGATCCTCAGATCAGTATTATTTAATATTTATATTAATGACACTTCCACCTCTGTTATCAATTGCAAAGTCCATTTGTATGCCATACTCTACTGCTCAGCTGACTATATTGGTACTGCATTGGGAAAAAGTACTGCATTCGTTTAAGGCCCTACAATCGGCTTTTTACATTCATAAACTAGTCTTAAATGTTTGGAAAACTAAATTTATGCTGTTTTCCAGAGCATCTAATATTGATTTTAATCTCAAAAGGATCTGATATTGAAAGAGTTAGTGAGTACAAATACCTTGCCATATGGCTAGACGACAAATGCACTTTTAAATACCATGTTAACAAGCTTACATGCAAACTGAAACAAAGTACTGCTGAAGCAACGCTATTGTCTACTCTGGATTAGGGTGATGTGACAAACAGATTATGCATCTACAACTACTCTAAAATCTCCAGACTCTGTATACTCTGCTTTAAGATTCATTACTGGTGCCCCATACAATATCCATCACTGTGTATAATATAAAAATTTTAACTGGTCATCTCTGGCTCTGAGTCAAGAAATACAAATACACTGGCTTCTTTATATCTATAAAGTGCTTACCGGTCATGTCATCATGCATTAGAAAAACGCACAGTGTAAATAATGCATTTTATTATACTTGTTCCAGTGACTGGATTACCCTTCAGGTGGCAAGAGCTTTTACTGAACAGGGAAAATCTGCTTTTAGCTACAGTACACCAGTGAGCTAGAATTTATTAGAGGAAACTTTAAAGCTTTGCTTGCTGATGCCACAAGAACATTTTAAACTTTTAATCTCTAGTTATATTCATAGATAAATAGAGTGAAAGAGGTTCTGAAGACCGATAGCAATTCGGTTATACTGTGAGGGACAGAAAGAAAGGGAGACTTAAAATTGGCAAAGAAACAGAGAAGAACCAGTTCAAGCCAGTTTAAACCTGATGTCACAATGGCTCATTACAAGTCTAAGGGAAAATTTTACTAGCTTTTCTCCAATACCTTAAAAAGTATAAAGTGTAGAGAAGAGAAGAGTCAGCCATCGTGCCATTTACAAGACCTATGCAACAACGTTTGCTCTTGTGCTTGCAGTGCTTGCAAAGAAACATAAACTAGTGTGAACAAGAGTGAAAAAAAGAAAAAGTTAAAGATCAGTAATATATTTAAGACAGAAAAACAGACAGAAAGGGTGGTTACTAAGATTTTGCTAAGAGGCTGCTATGGTATTCCAGGTGTTGCTCAGCTGTTGTTGCTAAGGTGCTGCATGGCTGTTCAGCAGTGTCCAAAAACTCTCCATCCATCTATCCCTCTACAACTACATTCGTCTATCTACAACTCTCTATTTGTCTATCCCTCTACAACTCTCCCTTTGCATCTGTCCACCTATAACTCCACCCATCTATTTATCTATCACTATCACTCTACAACTAACTGTCCATCCATCTATCCCTCCCTCTACAACTATCTATAACTATCTAACCATCTACAACTGTCCATCTATATACCTATCTACAACTCTTTAGCTGTCCATGTATATGTCCACAACTCTATCTGTCTATCCCTCTACAACTCTCTATCTAACCCTCTCTGTCTATCCCTCTACTACTCTATCTGTGCATCTATTTACAACTCACCATCCATCTATCCCTCTACAACCATCATCTATCCCTCTACTACTCTATCTGTCCATCTATTTACAACTCACCATTAGGGGTGCAACGATTATTCGACTTAGTCAACAACCAAATTAGTTGGCAACTAATTTAGTAGTCGATTAGTTGGTGACATCATTACGTGTCTTTCTCACGCTCACTAGGAGAGTTTTGAGATTGCCACTCACTGGGGAGTTAACAACAGCACGATGGTAGCCTCAAGAACAAAATCCTCAAAAGTGTGGAGCTAAACTTAAAAAAAAAAGGTTATCAGTTGTGCGTTTTGTTAGCTGGCACGGGAGTACATCCTCCGTACTGTAGCATCTGAAGAGAAAACTCGTCGGCTCAGAGGATCAAGAAAATATCTTGGTAAGATATGCCAAATCCCAAACCGCATACTACCACACTAAATAATGTGTAAAAATAGCGCATATACCATTAGAAGTGCACTTATTAGTGTAGTGTGTGAAATATGTGGTTTGGGACGCGTCGATAGTTGTGCTAGCGAGCCAGTTAACTGATGTTATTGCTAAAAGCCGTCCTACTTCATGCTGTGAACCGAGCTGTAACATTTTCTATTTCGAAATGCATTTTCTCTGGAATTGTTAATGGAGTTGGAACAGAGGAGCAAGTAACTATTATTGACAGCGACCCTGGTCACTTTCCAGATAATGTTTACAGTTCTAAACACTGCATTGTTGTCTTAATGTCGAGGCTACCGGTGCGTTCAGTTTCGGTGAACACAGGAGAGCGTTTTCAAACAGGTTTCTGTTCTCCGCGAAAGTTTGGCTCAACTCACTAACAGTTTAAGGAGGTAGTTCTCCGTGAACACACAGGGTAGCTGGACAAAGGGTTACCGTTGAAATGAAGCGTTCAGATTAAAATCGTTCGTATTTAACTGTTCGTGGAGAACAAGTTTTCCACAAACGTTTGCCACTTTCCCATCCGCTCCATCAGAGCGCATCGTCTCTGCAGCGGGGAATATCTGCTCTCAGAGGAGAGCGAGCCTCTCACAGGAGCACGGAGAGTTTTCCTCCGTTTCAAAAAAGACCTGTGGTTGTAGAATATAGTTGCAGCAAATGCACAGATCACAGACTGCACTGTTCATATTTAAGATTTAAATTTAGATTTTTTTTTTTTATTTATTTGATTAAAGAAAAACTGATTTAGTTTTGTTATATTTTCTTGTTGCTACTTTGCACATCTTTCGTTATACATTTTGACAGGAAAAATACATTGGAGTTTTTTTTTTATCTTCTGTATTAGCAGGAAAGTTCATTAAAACAGTGAATTCTTGAAATGTTATTCATCTTTATTGTCTTCACTGTTAGTTAGCAAATGTATAAAACAACCTCAAACTAAATTTAAAAGCCAAAAATGACATAAAAGTTATTTGGTAATGTAGTGATTCATTATCTGAATAATCGATTATTTGTTTCAGTAATTGATAGATTATTCGACTATCAAATTAGGCGTTTGTTGCAACCCTACTCACCATCCATCTATCCCTCTACAACTCTATCTGTCTATCCCTCTACAACTCTCTGTCTAACCCTCTATCTGTCTATCCCTTCCTCTACAACCATCATCTATCCCTCTACTACTCTATCTGTTTACAACTCACCATCCATCTATCCCTCTACAACAATATCTGCATATCCCTCTACAACTCTCTACCTGTCTATCCCTCTACAACTCTAACCCTCTATCTGTCTATCCCTTCCTCTACAACCATCATCTATCCCTCTACTACTGTCCATCCATCTGTCCATCTGTTTACAACTCTCCATCCATCTATCCCTCTACAACTCTGTTTATCCCTCTACAACTCTCTGTCCATCTATCCACCTATCTATCTATCTATAACTCTCCATCCATCTATCTATTCATCTATATATCCGTCCATCTACAACTATGTCTGTTTGTCTATCCCTTCACAATTACCCATCTATCCCTATACAACAGGCGCACAGGAAAATTCGACGAATCACGAATACAAAGCAAAGCACACCTTCATTCCCTCACAGAAAACTCAGTTCTCATGGGTCGATTTTGACCCCTCTGTACCTGAGATGTTCTGAATACCCTAACAAGGGCTATCTCTAACTCTGTGTCTATCTATCCCTCTATCTCTCCACAGCTCTCTACCTATCTATCCCTCTACAACTATTTATCTGTCCATCTATCCATCCCTTTACAACTGTGTCTATCTATAACTATCTCCCTGCATCTGTCTTTATCCGATCGATGTCCATCCATTCATCCGTCTGTGTCTGTCTGTCTGTCCATCTATTACTCTACGACTCTATCTATATTAAACATCTTTCTAATACTTTCTATTTTTATTTCACTTTTTTTTGCTTTGCAAACACTAATATTTTCTTTAGGAAATGTATATCTAGTTCTTATTATTCTTCTAACTAAAATAAACTTGCAACTTTGGGATTTAACACTGTAGTTATGAACACAAACATCTGTCTAATTATTGTTTAAAGGATTTAATGATTAACCGGATTAATCATCTAAACATGGAGTGTTAAGGGTGTTAGACTCCAAAATTGACACAAAAAAGCTAAATATTTTGATGCAACTTTTCACACCAAAACAATACACACACAGCGCACAGCTCTGATCTCCATAACTCATTCTTCAAGTGCAAAGAAGACCTCATTTGCTCCTCATAAAATGAGCAGACAGTGACAGTGTGCAGGATGCTTTCCCCGTTGGAAAAACAAAAGGTGAACAGAGAGTTTCTACACCTAATTTAAGAAGCGAAAACTTTCCCTCACAACTCAGTCTGCACTGATTTTGGAGATGCAGCTCCACAAAAGCTGAAGCATCATTAGGCAGAATAAGTTAAACGCTATAGTTTAACCACTTACTGGTTAAACTATAGCGGTGGTTTAGTTGTTTCCCACTGTTAAACACAGCATTAGTTAGCTTTGTGGGTAACCTACTTTAGCAAAGAACCGCATTGTATGCTGCTGCAAATGGTATCAGAGAATTTTTAGAAGTGACGAGCTAGGGAGAAGAGACAGAACCGTTGTTTATTCACTCACTGGAACTGCCACATTGTTTCATAAATAAATCTACAATCAAGTTAATCTACAGCTTAGTCTACACCACTCAACTACTGTAAAATTAAATGCAGGCTAATAGTAATGTCTGCCTAACAGTACTAGCTTTCACGTTACTGCAGCAAAAGCAGGCATGGCTGGCATGAATGTTGACAGATTATTTTGGGCTAAGAGCAGAGATAATGGAGATTTGTTTTTTTATTTAAGTAATATTTTACACTTATCAGCTTACCGTCATCGCAGACTATCTCTGCTAAAGGGTACTTGACTCTGTTTGTGATTTGTTGTGTTCCAAACATGTGTGTGTTGCGAACAGAGAACGTGCAAAACACCCTCTGATGGACTCACGACATAACAGCAACACTCATTAAATCGCTGAAGGACTTGTCTTTCTTTCTTTTAATTATGGACAATTTTCTCACTATTATGACTTACTAAAAGGCTATATCTATTTTGCCCAGTAGCAGAAAAGTGTTTCCAAACCCATAGCTACAACCACAAACGAAAACCAAAGTGCAAGTCAGTCAGTTATATTTTAATTTTGTGATAAACTGTGTCAATCAAGCTACATAGGGAGAACTGTTGTGACTTTTTACAATGCTGGTTTAATTGAGACACCATGACCCAAATTAAACAGGTCATATCGCTTTCACAAAATAGAAAGTTATGAGTATACTGGGTCTAATGAAAACTATTATAGCCACTTATAATTTACAGAAAAGAAATGTCTCATAAAATGTAAAGTGGTAATGTGTTTTTGGTCTTAAGGAGCAGAAGCTTCTCGCACCGATAGAAAAAACTAAAGATAACCCTAAACAGCATTTTCCGCACTGTATGACTTTTAAATTGTCCGGAAACCAGCTCGTACAATCACACCTGCCCTTTTTCAGGCAACTTAAAATGTAGAAGCACTTCATCATCGAGACCATGAAGGTAACACAATCATGCTCATCGTTTATTACAAGAAGTAAACCAAAATAAACTAAACGCAGTTTGCTGGAAGACTGACCGTTTTGTCAGCTAAGCTACCTAGAACCTTCAGATTCGATGCCGTACAAAAAGTTAACCACTGATACGTCGACACGTTTCAGGTGGGCTCGGGTCAAACGAATTTGATCACTTCAACTCAAGATTTACAGCTAAGAAGAGGTAGATAAACGTTAATAGATTGAAGAAAATCTGACTGTGATTCGGTAATCAGCCCGCTGAAACGGTGATAAACGTCTAGTTATCTTAGCAAAATGAAGCTAGCAGTTTGTAGCCCGGATAACTCTGCTAATCCATAGTGAGACGGCATAGAATCTAAGAACCATTACCGGTCTTCGCTGACCGTGATAACTCCATCCTCTTTCGGGATCAATACTGCAGCGTTCACTGCGTCCTGGTGGCCTTCGATTTTGTTCAAGAGGATGGGTCTGGAGGAATGGGGCCTCGAATGAATCTCCGCCGCCATCGCTGTTTTCTTTTTTCCGACCTTTCCCTCTCTTCCAGAGTAGCCAAGACGTGTCAGCTGATCGCTGAGGGAAAGGTCATAACACTACCGTAAAACCATGAGGAAACAAACACATAAATCTTACACTGCTTTCATCTAGTATTTTGTCCCACCCTTACGGAAATCTGATATATGGCCATAAATGCACATATATCAACGCAGGTCAGTCGTACATCTTAAAGTTTATGTACATATATGTCGTGCACATATCAATACATATGCATCATATATGGATTATAGATGATGGACAAATCTGATACATACTTTAACTGTACAGTTATAATTGTTACTTTGTCATCTTTTTAGTTTTTAATATTCATTATTTAATTACTTAATTATTTAATTGCATTTACACTGTGCATGTTTGAGTGTAATTATTTAGATATTATACAAATTTTCACTTCATTAGGAAGACACAAAGATGATGCATAAAGCTGAAGACAATAAGAAGATGCATAAAAACTGTATTGTTACAGAATTATAATAAAGAATATTTTTTATATGAAAAAATATTCTGTAACATGAAGCCCACATATATGAGTAACGGAAGGCATCCATATATGAACGTTTTCTATCATATATTGTTAAAAAATGTTACACATATAGCTAAAATATATTTCCCATATTTGAAAGTTAGCCTATGTGTCACATGTATGTCTGTATGTGACAAATATGGGTTGGATATAAGGGAATATCCCAATATGCTAATATATGTCACATATTTGAAATCCATATTTTGACATTTATCAGATTTCCATATGGGCGATGTCATATGTAACAAAGTGAACCTTTTACTTGAACAAGTTAATGTTATGACTACTAGTAAAACCTGGAAAATTGGACATGTAAGGAGTATCTAATTTTTTATATGTAAGAACTGAGATTAGTTTTCACTGAAAAAAATCTGTCCAAATGTAGATTTTAAACATGCCAAATGTATTTTTTATTATTAGTTATTAGTAGTATTAGTAAAATAATTTTATACTCCTATTAAAATGAATTTGGAAAAACCATGATGATACTAGTATTACTAACATACGTATTTGTCCAAACTGAATTTCTGATATTAATCAAACTCTGGATTTAAAACAGCTTTCCATCAGTCAGTACAGATGAGACAGTAAAGAGTGTTAAAGCATCTTTGCGTACTTTATTAAATAAATGATCAACTGAAGTTATATTGTAACAACATAGACTTTAATCTAAAAAAAAGAAAAAGTGAACTGAACTAATATTAATGCATGTAACTGAACCACAAAACAAAAATCAACATTGGTAAATGTATATTAAAATAAAGCTAAAAAGAAACGGTTACAAAGCATTTTGAGGTGGTACTATGAGGACACTATACACCAATAGGGTAAGAAAATGAAGTTTAACTGATTTTTCGCTCCAATTACAAACTCATCAAAAGTGAAAAGTTTAGGTGCTCAAGGCAATACAATATTGTGTAACTGTGCCATGAAGGAAAAGAAACAAAGTAAAAATGAAATAGTTTTCCACAAAGCAATCAAAGCAAAACAGAGTTAAAAGTGAAATGTACTAGGGAAATGTGCCTCTTCCTTGTTGGCTTGTTCAAGGTTTATTTATTTGACCAGCAAAGAGAATGGTTCCTGCAGAAAAGAACATAGATTTCACATGCAATGCCAACATCACTTTTCTAATTTATGAATGAGATTGTTGTCTTTATAAGTATAAAACCTGTCTAGATGAGTAATCAGTCTGTGTTTTTTTAACCTGGGGCTTGATCATTAACAGATGCCTGCATTGACTATTGATTACGCTGAGTGATAGGGGAAGAAGGACAGCCATTCTCTCTTGGAGCACTTAGAAGCACTTAGCCAAGCAGCTAAACTACTAGCTAGTTTTGCTATCCTTCATGTGTTTCAACAATATGTGATTTTTAGCTAACTACCCTACAAAACATTTTTTACGACTAAGTTGATAGGGCCAACATACATTTTCTGTTGTGTCATGGCTCAAAATGGTTGAGAACCACTGTGCTAGGGTACATAGTATACCTGTAGGGTTGTGTCTGATAAGGAACAGGAATGGTCTATCAACAGTCACCCATGGAGGCGAGGACCGGGCAAGCAAAATCGCAGCTAGAGAGAAAGATAGAGAAAAAAAAATGTAGGAACATAACCTAGCTATGCAAAGCATTAAGATTATGTTCAAATACTTAATATGTCACCTAACCACATACAGCCAGCTATAATACACAAATTTTTGCCTGTTCAACCAAAAAAGCATTTGTAAGATCAGGCACTCATGTTGGATGAGAAAGCAATTGTCCCAAAGTGTTTAGTAGGGTGGAGGTCAGCAGAGGTGTAGCCAGAGTGTTTACAATGGGGTGGCCAGGACAGACCTAGTATTTTTAGTGGGTTTGCAAAATTATTTAGGAAAAACAAAGTGAAACAGCAGTTAATAGCATTCTTCTGTTAGGCTTACGTTAATAAAATTACTTTTGTATTATCTGGCTAATAACATTTTTTAAAACAGCTAAAACTGATTTTGGAGAAAATCAGTTAGTTTTGCTCCTTCAAAATTTCTACCGCTGAATACTGTGTCATAGGTTAAAATCATATGATCCACAGCATGATGTATAACAAAACAACATTTTTCATTCATCAAGGTAGAAACAATGTAGATGTACCCTCAAATGTACAAAAGTTCTTCTCAGGAGAAAGTTATGTATTCGTACTTTTTTCATAACCTAAAGTTTAAAACTAGAACAAAAAAAATAAAAAGCTCGAGACAAGACAGGGTGTGTGGAATCAATACAACTTAAATCATATAACTGCAATGGAATCTGGTACATTTATGTTCCCTACTAAAGATATGGAAGAGGGTACCTTTGAGGGTACCACCCCAGTGACAAGAGGGGTACCACCCCAGTGACAGTTTAGTACTCTTTTTTCTGAGAGTGTACTACATTGACATAGAACTTTATTTAGGTGCCTTTAACAGTGTTTCCCTACAGTCCAATGTCAGCTTCTTCTTAACACAAAATGAATAAAGCTAACAGCAAGGGTATGATCGGCACTCGTCAGTTTTTTCAGCAAAGTAGCCCATCAGAGCAATGATCAGCTGATTACTTACTGCAGTGTCAACTGAGTTTACTGCACAAAATAAACTTATCAGTAACTTCCACAATGGCACATTTTCACAAAAGGTATACACTTTCACACAGAATAGGTAAGAAAACATTTCTCTGGTGACTGCTTCAGTGTTAATGGCTAAGCGTCCCATTTTGCCTAAATGGGATGGCCAGAAGGGTGGCACTGACCACCTCTGGTCACCCCATCAAACTATGTCTTTATAGACCTAACTTTGTGTACTAGAAAGCTTGAATTTTCAGTAGTTTAAAAAACAGATTTCCAAATGATTACATGGCATTGAGCATGAGTGTTGCACAGGGGTGATCCAGGGGTGCCTAGACCTCAACCTCTTGTCTTTAGGTAGAGGTGGAGGGCCAAGCCAACAGAATTGTTTAGGTTTCCAGTCAGTTTTTGTGTGGGCCTGTACATGTGTGCAGACTTTTATGATTATAGACTATGATCAGTCAGCCAGACAGATGGGTGATGAACTGCAGGTGCACTGGCCACAAACTTTTTTTCTTTACATTTTGGCTCATGTCCTTGATCATATTTAGCACAATTCATCATCATATAAAAATCATTGTTGTTTCCTGTAATCCCCCTTCATAATGTAATTGCTTACAAAATGTCATTTGATTATGCCACCATGTACCAGTGGGCAGGGAGAAATCCAATAATATCATCCAATAATATCACCTCCCACTACCACCACCGAAGCAAAAATGCTCACAGAGACCCGCTGTTATACTACGTTTCACTTGGAAATGAATCACAATTGAAAAAATTGACTTAAATGTTTCAAAGCAGGCAATTTAAATTTAAGACTTTTAAGATATATTTAAAGGTGTAGTGTGTAAGATTTAGGGGGATGTATTAGTCATCACTGTGTTTTTGTTAGCTTAGAATGAGCCTTTCATATTAATCTAGGGAGATATATCTAGGAAGTGCGTCCAGCAGAGGCCGCCATGTTGAGCTGCCATGTTTCTACAGTAGCCCAAACCGAACACTGGTTCTTGTTTTTATGTTGAAGCGGCAGCTTGAATGTAGTGGCGCTATAGCACCAGTTGGAAGACATAGAAAAAAGAACAATCAGCAGTTGCTGTCGATGCTGGCTAACCATTTTGTGTTGTGAGAAGTTTGAGAACCCACATTTTAACAAATGGAGGATCATACCTATTATGTAGCACAAGAAAAAGCAAGAGAGATTCAATCCTCATTGTCAAAGAAGTGAACACCTGAAGAAAGATCGGGACATGCGATGGCAGGAAACCTGACGGCCACTGTATATTCTTGGAAAGGGAGGGGTGAGGAAGGGATATTCAGTTGGTTTCAGTCTGCAACCTCACCACTAGATGACACTAAGTCTTACAAACTGCACATGTAATACAAGCTATAATACAACTTAAGATTATTAGTTCAGGAGGCTTGGTCTTAATTTTTTTTTTTTTTTTTACCAAACTAAGAATGGCAGCAAGTTGTCAATCTGTGTCAGATTTCGACCTGGGTGCTGGCACTTGAGGAGTATGTCGGAGGGGCCCACCTCAGAGATGGTCTAAATAATTCTTGGAGCTAAAATACATGTCTCTGTACATGTCTTTAGGAGCTGGATCGAAGCTCATGTCAAAATGTCTACCAACATAATTAGGAATGATGACCAACCAATCAATCCACAGGGGCATAGCCATGGGTAGGATAGGCCTGGGATTATCCAGATTGATCACAGGTTTACCCAGTACAGCTGGCATATCAAAATTGAACTTGGAAATTAGCATTATTGTAGAGGTGTGTTTTGTTCATTTATGTTTTGACATTTTGACATTAGTTTTGACATTTATGGCCTGAGCTGAAAGTCTTAAAGTCATGTTTTGCCACTGGCTTATACATTGTGGGCCACCTCATAACCCTCCATTTCTTATTTTTGATTTTACTTATATGTTTGGGATCATCATCCTGTTGGAAGGTCAATTTCTTCAGCTTCAACTTTTTACAGATGGTCTCAAGTAAGCATTCTCTGGTATAAAAGAGAATTGGTTTTATATCTTCTCCACTTGTAGATAATCTTCCAGACAAGGGAATAATTCATTTTAAAAATTTCAGACATCTTCTTAAACCCCTTGTAACTGCCTACCTGGGCAGTGCAGTAGAGCGTTTTGTTTTGGTTCCTACCCCCAAAGGACTTTAAGGACTGACGCGGAACTATATGTCCGCAAGTGTTTCCGGGGGGGACCCGTTATATGCACGGACGGTGCGGATAGCGGAGAGCTCGTATTGCACGTCGTTAAAAGGGTTAAAATTAAGTGTTTTAAAGGTGTTTCACGTTTGTCAAGGAGCGCTACAAGGGAAACCATACCCTCCCTGTGAATTTAATGCAGCCAATGAGGTTTGTGTTCTGTTTGTTATTTATTTTACGTGAAGTTTATATTGCATTGCTGCTGCTAGTGCTAATATACATGTAGTTATATGTTCGTGTAAAGCTAACGGTTAAATGAAGGTGTTTTAAAACGAAGTTAAAGTAAACAAAGACAACATTGACACTAAGATTAAAGGGTTTAATATTGGAGTAAATTAGACATTTATGCTCAATTGTACATGTGTTTGTTATTTTATTTTACAGTTCTCACGTTTAGGAATAAAACCCTAATCAGTGCATTTAAGAACAGTTGTGCTGTTGTCATTAAATCAGAGGGAGGTACAGTGAGAACTCAATGCTCCAGAAAACAGCACCAGAGAGCAGTGTTTTACAGTAATCAGAAAAGATGTCTGAGAGTGAAAGAGAGTGTGCAGGTGTGCATATGCCGCAGAGCTGCATGGACATGAAGCCACAACCAAGCGACAGGGATGAGCTGCAGCCTTACACAAACATGCATTCACTAGTGAGTAACGGCACAAAAGGTTATGACTTCGTTCCTCAACAAGAGCCACAAAAAGACCAAAGAGTCCGCAAGATGTCGGAGAAAGGTCAAGAATTGCACGATGAGCAAGTAAGAAGACTTGAACGTCGTTTCAGTGTGTGCTATAAGAAGTGGAAGGAGGTCACAAAGATAGCCAACCGAACTCTAAGTGGTCAATGCTCAGCCAGCTTGCTGAATGAACATGTTACCAAAGTGAACAGTGCTTTAAGGAGCTTGAATGCTGTTTATGAAGAGTTGAGACGCATCAGTATTCCTGACCATGACATACGTCGTAGAGTTGGCACCTGTGAAACAGTGACACAGAGAATCGTTCAGCAAGTAATGGACATTCTAGACATAATAAATGCTCAAGGTCAAGGGGATGAAGAACGAGGCTGACGAAGAGACAAGGTCAGCCAAGATGAGTGTCCGCTCTCACAGCACTAAGGCCTCCACTCATTCCCGTCTAACTTCTGCTAGCAGAAAGAGTGCAGCTGCTGAAGTTGCTGCCAATGAAGCCACCCTGCAAGTACTGCTAGAGCAAGAACATCATATTAAAGAACTGCAGAGGCTGGAAGCTGAAGCTGCTCAGCTAAAAGCTAAACAGGAGGCTGAAAATGCAGAGAGACAAAGAGTGCTAAAAGCCAAGCGCAGAGAATTAGAACATCTGGAGACGATTAAGAAACTGAAGGCTGCTAAAGCACGACAGCAAGTATATGAACAGAGTGAATGCTCACATCGAACATCTAAACAGAGTCAATGTCAATGCTCAGATGAGGAAATAAATGAGCTGCTCCATCAACCTGTTCCTGTGAAGGGTAGAAGGGAATTCAAGCAGGAAGTAAGCCCACCGCAGTATCATTCTCCACCACAAGCTGTAACACATCCAGCTGAAGACTACACAGGAGCTCTTGTCAGAGCACTCACAGAATCCATTAGTGCCAGCCGTATTCCTGTACCTGAACCAACAATGTTCAATGGTGACCCACTCAGATACAATGACTGGAAGGTTTCCTTTCAGACCCTCATTGACAGGAAGAACATACCAGCCGAAGAAAAGATATATTATCTATGCAAGTATGTGGGTGGATCTGCAAAGAAGGCCATAGAGAG